GGTGGGGAGTGGGAGGCAGGAGAGGAGTCCACGGAGCTGGTTATGGACTGAGGTGAGGCGCCTGGGAAAGCTGTGACAACAGCTGCTCTCTTAGGAGGACGGGGACAGGAGTAATCCACACAGCTACTATTGCCTGTGGAACTGATGTCGTATTTCTTTGAGCTGCATTTATCCACTAGGAAACTCCTTCGGCGGTGACATTTCCTTGAGTCATAATTTTAATACTGCAGTTACATTTTCAGATGAACTTGAAAGGTTGGAGCTCTTTTACGGCTTCCTGTGCGGCTAACGTGGCTAATTATGGCCTGGGGTTTAAATGGCGATGGGCTCTAGTTCTCTACTCAGCAGCTGGGCTGGAATCTAAACAGATAGAGGCGCCTATCGCAGGACCTTTGCCCAGTTATTTTGAGTTTCTGTGATGGATTCAGGAAGGGAGAGGCTTTATCACTAAAGGGTTCTAGAAGGGGAGGGGAAGAGCTAGGGACATGACTCAGTCCATAAAGTGCCTGCCCTGAGAGTATAAGACCTGAGTTCAGATCTCAGCGCCCACAATTAAAACAACAACAAGGAATCTGTGTGTGGTCATGTGCATGAGCCACCCTAGCACAGGAAGGGCAGAAGGGCGAATTCTCAGACATCACTGGCCAGCTAGTCTAGCCAACTGGTGAGCAGGGTCCAGTGTGAGGCTGTGTCTCTAAAGATAAGGTGCAAATGCCAGAGAAGACCTGATGTTGACTTCTGGTGTTACACACACACACACACACTCACACACTCAGAAGAAAACAAGAAAAGAAAGCAAGTTTCAAGTATACTTTATTTCACAGAGACTAAACCACAAAATAATATACCAAGAAATACTTTTGCTTGTGAAATTGTCAGTTCGCACAATTAAATAATATTTGAAGCCGCACCTAAGAATGAGCATAATGAGAACGTAGACTCTGGGGTCAGCGGTCATCCAGCTTGCCCCAGCCTTGGTTTCCTCAAAAATAAATAAGCAGACTCAGTTTTAACTCGGGGCTTAGTCTTAAGGCTAAGACTAAGACGCGTATTTACTACAGGGCCTGGCATATTATCTATGCAATAATTACTATTACCACAATCGTCCTTTCCCTTCTTAAGACTCTTTATCTATCTAGAAACTGTTACGTTTTCTCCCCCTGCTGACCTTCATAATTTTATTCCGGCGTACCTCCTGTGACAGGAAGAGGACAAGGAGCTGGGAGAGCAGCGGCATGCACTTCCACGCTAAGTGTTAGAGCGTGTGTGGGAGCATTCATTAGCAACAGCAGGGCTGCATTTTACAATATCTATGCATTTCTGAATTGTTTAAAAGAAGATCAGTTGATCTCGATCTTCATTTCTAAGAGGTTAAAACTCTTTGCTCTCAGCTTCTCTCTTCCTTCCTGTAACTCCTAGACCCGTACTAGGGGGCGGGGCATGGTGGCACGCACCTGTAATCCCAGCACTTGGGAAGCTGAGGTGGGAGAATGGGAAGTACTGGCCTGCTTGTGTTACAGAGGGAGAGTCTGAATCCAGCCTGAGATCCTGGATGGCGTTTTCCAGGGAGAGGTGAACGAATTGACCCCAGGTGGGGCACCAGGACTGGACAAAGGAATAATTCCCGGGGAGGAATTATTCTCCTCTTCAAGGGTGTAGCCCCTGGGACGTCACCCTTGCTTCATTGGTCGGCCCCACACCCATGAGTATATGAGCAGCAAGAGTCAGACTTACGGTGTTATAAACACAATTAAAAAGGCATGAAAATGGGGTAAAGGGGTAGAGGGTGGGAAACAGAGCTAGGTGTGTATGATCAGAACACACTGTATGCGTGTCTCCTGGTTACATTTTCATTGCATCACACGCTAGAGGAGCCATGGGGAGTGATGGGAATATGATCAGAACGCACTGTATGCATGTCTCCTGGTTACATTTTCAATGTGTCATATGGCCCTGTCAAGTGATTAGCCATGTAACGTCTGCCTTTGTCCACTTAGACTGTTTTGAGATGTTTGCACCATCATGGATTGGAAAGAGGGGTGCACAGGGCCCCAACACTCCTGGTAATTTATAGTTTATAGTAATTGGAGGGAGGAAGAGGCATTTTCTTTAGTGGATAGGCTCTGGGAAGGTGGCCTTGCTCCTGCAACAACACTAATGAAACTCACTGCAGCAGCATAAGAAGAAAAAAAAAAAAAAAAAAAAGGT